AGCACTATATAAAATAAATGAAGATTCATTCAACTTCATATTTTCATATATTACTCATGTTCTATTCAAATAACAATGTCAATTGAGTTGCTTCATCCATAATATAGGATTATTGAATGACATATTTACTATTTTTTTTTCTCTGTTCATTTATCTTCTTATCACTGTAATTTAAATAATTGTCATGTATAAATTATGATTGATATTCCAATATATTCTTGAACCTACGTTTTTTTTTTGTTGATAATGTATCTGTAATTCAAAAATATCTCTTCATATACTTTTGAACCAATGATCATCCGAATTTTTCTTTACTATGCATTGTATGACACGTTTCTTTTTTTAGTTCTTTCACCTTTAAAACATATTCATTGTATGTACATGTATAAATGTTAATTTACTTTATGATTGGAATATATATTTCTCATCGTCTCCAACAGCGATGAAGCATTCTAGATATAGCAGCAGGATCAATTGAATAGATGGAATGATGCATTTCTCAGAAACCATATTTAACAGATGTCTAGCGAGATAAAAACACCTTTCTATTCTTCGATATATATTTCATGTTCAATTAGATGAATAGTTTTATTGAAATGATTGTTTAAAAAGATATGATTATCGTTTGGAATAGAATCTCAGACTGTTTTTTTTTCTTTATAAACGATGCTAAATGTTAGAGATAGAAACTATCTATAAATATGAATAGGTGCAAACGTTTGACGACTCTTTTTTTTGATTGTTTAGTACATAGTGCTAAAAAGAGAAAATTCTAAGTAAACATTTGATTGTGTTAAAAACTCAAATGCACAATTAAATCATGTGTGAAGATATTATAAAGAGAGACAAAGAAAGAGAGTCCATAAAGTTAAGCAATAATGTCATCATTTGTCCCTCAACCTTGCATCTTATCATTTATATCAGTCGTTTTTTTTTTATACAGGTGAGAAGACAGATTTATCTCTCATACTTTATTTCTGTCTTTCGTTATTTGACAAGTGTTTTATTATTGAACCGATAGTAGAAGCCTTGAGAGAAAGGAAAGGCTATCAACAATTCGTTGAACTCAGCAGGATATGTATATATGTTTGATTGGAAAACACTGCAAGGGGTTGTCCATCACGGATCGAGTCTAGACACACACATATATATATATTATGTTTTTTTTTCTCTTGAGAATAAGAAAAAAAAAAACAATTTTATCCAGTACCAAACATCGATAGTTCAATTGAGATAAGCAATGCATCTGTTCTTTTTTTGTCTTACAAATTGACTAGAAGAAAAGATAAAACAAATTATTTTGCCATCTTTGATCTGTATTTTTTTCCTTAGCAACGATATTTGATTTCTAGTCCATTTAAATCGAATAGTGTTTCTATTGTTTTGTTATTTTTTTTCTTATACGTAACAATATTCATTCTTTTCAATCATGAATGTTTTTCTTTTCTATCGAATACTTTCTAATTGGTATAAATTAGAGCATGTCCAATTTTGATAATCTAGTACGTTTTCTATCAGTTTCACTTGTGGAAAATTAAAATTGATTTTTCTACTCAATGATTTAGCAAATATTCGAGACATAGTTGAGTGGATGAGCCAATTCAATTGATGATTCGAGAAGTATCGTCTTATTAAAAAAAAAAAAAAAGAAGAAAAAATCCGATTTTTGAAGCAACTAATGCATCAGCTTAATTTCACACTTTTCAATTTACTCTTTCTCATAGTATACTTTATTAACACCCAAGGCCAACATATATATATATAGGTACATATATGAATGATCTTCAAGGTTGGTGTCCGCTTCTTCTTTTGTTTCTATTTTACATACACAAATAGGTGTCTCAACATATTGTATGGTCTAATTACTTGCGTATTAGAACGATAAAGAGACGATGATTGACATAGCAAAATAAATAGTCTGCTACAGATGAAGCTTAAAAATAAAAAAAAATGAACAATCAGCAGGGTCCTTGAAATAACAACCTGAACACCAACAGCTTCTAATTGAGTCAAAAACAACTCTATCGTGCACACCCATGATGCAATCATTATTTCTTTTCTTTTTATTATTTGTTCGTTATTTACCATCTGGTTTCGATTGCCCATTGGTCATTTCATCCATTTAGGGAACGAGAAAAAGAAAAAGAAAATAACCTTCTTCCTGCTTTATAAACATATTTATTACATACATTACGTTTATATACACATCCGAGATAGTGATATTAATGATGAACATCGGTCCTATTATCAGCATTAATAAGGTAAGCAACGCCAACATATAGTATCAAAATCAGTCATTCAAAGGTAAGTTTAGCTCACCTTGTCGAAATACAAATTTTGTTTTGTCTATGTATTTTTTTTAGTTAAAAAGACAAACAAAGATACTTGAACTGTTCTATTACTTTAAAGAAGACTTATACATATATATATGTATATTCATCTGGTAGTAATAGTACTAATGTATGATGAACGGCTCTACTTCATTCTTTTTTGCTCATTTTCAATGAATAGTCTATATGTCTTCACTATTGTTCATGTTCTCCTCATTATCGCACATTTGAAATAGACGATGAAACTAAATGTATTCATCATTCAACGAAATAGTGATTTATATCATTTTGTCAGATAAAATTATCTTATATATTAAACGTAAGTTTTATTGATGACGACCTTTTATTTGATTCATACAAATTAAATCGAATATATCTATATCTATACATATATATATATATGCATATATTCGTTGTCTATCGATACATAAATTGACACTCAATTGTGATCGGCACCATCAATCTAAATAGTACCAGATAATGGTAGCACGTTTAGAATTTCAAGTAACTCACATTGATACATATTCGACTAATATTCATTGCACACATCGTGTGTTCAATGTCAAAATTGAAAATATGCAAATAAATCAGAACAGCTAGAAAGATAATATCAATTAACAGCTATTGTGAGAATGAATTTAAATTAAATATTTCGATTTGATAATAAAAAAAAAAAACATCTATTTACAATCTCATTCTCATATTAAGATAGCAATATATATATATATCTATGAACAGCAAGATATCAATCAATGTGAGTATATTAGAAAATTTCCAACAATCGTCTTTTTCATAGAAATACTATGTTTTTATCTATAGTAAACATATTTCAGTTGACATAAGCGCTAAGTGAACTTGAGTGTTCTAAGTCTTCATAGGTATACTAAGTATTTGTCTCTCATCTTTTTTTTTTCTATTTTACTAGCAATCACGATATTGTGTTCATATAGGTGATTTTATGCCGACTTAAATTATTTTAGTCTCTCTCTTTCTTCTCTTGATTCGTGAACACTTCTTTTTTTCTTTTTTGTTATAATGCATGAAATTCTTAAATTTACATGAAGATTATTCTATTGAAAGAATTTAGTTACATTTTGATCTTTATCTTTTTCACTTTGACAGTTTAACTTTTTTTTTCTTTTTTTATTGTTTCATTCATTCCCTTCTTTTTTTTTTGACTATATATATCATGTTTCAATAATTATAACCTTAAGGTTCATGTCATGATAATATTGTTAACAATATGACAACGATTAGACCGGATGTCACTAGGAAATACCTTCCTTCGATCATTATCCTTGATAGGCTCTTTTTATGAACAATTAGAATAAAGATGATAAGTTTTTGAATTGTATCCGACTATATATGAGGTGTAAATATTGTTTTAACACAGAACAGACATATTGAATGGACATTTTTATCATCAGAGAAAAGAAACGAGTAAATGCACTATCAAAGTTTATATGAATAAAACAGATGTGAACGGTTGATTTAGTCTTCGTTTCGAAAACAAAAATATAATATCACCACTAAGAATAATATACGGAAATCAATAAGCCTGAAGCGATATTTTAAATAAGTATTAGATTGAAAAATCACTTTGTTTTTATTAGAAAGATAAAAGATGTTTTTATCTTTAATTTGAAGAGTTTGTTTAAATATATTTCTATTAACTGTAAATCATTTGAAATGTTGAATTGATTTTCGAATCTTTTTTTTGTTTTTTAGATGATTTCAATACTTTATCTTTTTTTTCTTATATCATTTGTCAAAACATCTGATTATTCATTAATAATCAATGAAAAATCTTCAATAGATAAACCTATTTTTAATTTTCCACATTCATATGAATTAATAAATAATTTTCAATCAAATTTTAATTTAACAAATAATAATACAAAATTAATTTTAACAAAATATATTGATCGTGATGATTGGTGTAGACAAAATATTTGTTCATGTGATTATTGTTCATTTATACTTGAATTATTTTCTAATCATAATCAAATACCAAAATTTTCAACAATTAATATAACAATTAATGATATTAATGATCATACATGTCAATTTTTTGATATACAAACAAATATTTTATTATCAGAATCAATTCAAATTGGTCATCGATTTCCAATAACACGTGCTATTGATTATGATTCAGGAATGAATGGAGAATTATCATTTAAACTTCTTAATAATGAAGATTATTTTCAATTAGATATAATAATATTATCAATAAATGAATATGCGATATATGGTATTGTTAAACAATCACTTGATAGAGAAATAAATGAAAAATATGAATTAATTATTGAAGCACGTGATCATGGATTTCCACAAGAAAGAATTAATCGAACAAAAATTACAATTGAACTTTTAGATGAAAATGATAATGCACCGAAATTTAATCAAAATGAATATTCGATTCAAGTAAGTTTACATAAATTTCTTTGAATTAAAGAAATAAAAACTTAGAATTTTTGAGATTTTATGTGATTATTTTACAAAAAAAACCTTGAAATTTTTCAAAGAAAAATATTAAACCTTATTTAGAAATGTGATGATTTATTTGATTTGAAATTTTTCTTCTTTTGAGTGTTGAAATAGATAGTTTTCAAAGAAAGATAAATTTGAATGTTAATTCTAATCTTAATAGTTTTTTTGACAGAAATAAATATGAATATCCTCGGCAAAAGATAAGCGAATTTCATTTGAGATGTGTACAATCCAACTTAATCGGTCACACTCGTTCAAATTTGAAAGTATTGTCTTGGATGATAGTTGAAATATTTAGAAAATATTCGAAGTGCGAAAAGTAATCGTTCAATTTTTACTTGAATCATAATTAATCAATTATCAAAAGAACGTAGAAGTGAATCGAACCAATATATTTTTAAAATTCGTTGTATCAATACTAGATATACAAAATCATATAGTTTTAAAATTTATGAGTTACAGAAACTCGAGAAAAGATAACAACTATGTTAATCAACGGAACCATCCGAGCTGACATCTGGTATTTGAGCTTGTATATTGAATTTTTTATTCATTCGTAAGTAATACTCAGAAAAGTACATGATAGAATTTGAATATAAAAGTTTATCTATAGATAAGTTACGATGAACTTTAGAATGCTCTGAAAGTTTCATGCAACAAGAATGTACTTTTGCTAAGGTATTCAATATTCATTATTAGTCCTTTGTCGAAAAAATAGAATTCATTTGAAAATGCAATAACTCGATGAAAAAAACATTTTTTTTCGATTGAAACTTTTAGTTAGAATATTCTAAGAGTGATGAACTTTATCTAAAGACAAAATTTTGTATTAAAATTCTGATATTCCTTCTTTCGTGGAGAGTCTATAAATGGGGTTAAAAATTTTGGTAAACCGATCATAACTCGGTGGGTGATAAACCCTTTTAGGCTTTTGTTTTTCTCACTGAGACTTGCCTCTGAGCTTCAACGGTGAGTTTTTCACTCCGGAAAGTTATCTTATAAGCAATAGTTGACTGTGAACTTTTCTTATGCTTGTAAGATGTTTCATATACTTCTAAAAACAAATGAACAAATACTGAGATCATTGATAGCGTTCGTACTAATTAAATTGTATTTAAATACGACTGTAAACTTGAGTAATACATTCTTATGTTAAATTGTTTAGTCTCTTCCGGAAAATACTCCTATTGGTACTGAATTATTAACAATATCAGCAAGTGATGCTGATAAAGGTTTAAATTGTTTAATACATTATTCAATAATTAATCCTCCAAGTTCATCATTATTTCCATTTAAAATAAATTCAACAACAGGTGTTATTAGTCTTCATTCATCATTAGATTATGAAACAACACGTTTCTATAGATTTTTAATTCGTGCATCAGATTCTGGTTTAGTACAATCATTATTTACTGATACATGGCTTTCAATATCAATAAAAGATATAAATGATTGTCCAGTTGAAATACTTTTTTTACCAAATCGACGTTTTCAATATAATAATCAAATATTATTTATCAATGAAAATACAGAAATCAATAATTTAACATTAGGTTATATACGTTTATTTGATCGTGATTCAATTCAAACAAAACTTTCAATATCATTAATAATATTAGATAAAGAATCAAAACAAGAATATGAAATAATTCTATCAAATCAATTAAATTCTTATATACTTATTGTTAAACAAGGAATATATGATAGAGAAATTCAAACAGAAATAAATCTACGTTTTATAGCCACTGATACTTTATTAACATCAATTTATGATTTAAAAATTCATTTAATTGATTTAAATGATAATCCAAGTGAATTTTTATCAAATCCATTAAAATTTTATGTTGAAGAATTAGCAAATTATCATATGGTTAAACAACCAATTGAAGATTATCAATTAACAATTGGTTATCTCAATGCTATTGATCGTGATGAAGGAGAAAATGCATTAAATAAATATGAATTAGAATCGAATTCATTTGTTCGAATTGATTCTAATACAGGACGATTATATTTAATTCAACCATTAGATCGAGAACAAATAGAAAATATTCAATTAATAGCTAAAGCAATTAATATTGCTGAACCAAAATGGGTTACAGATGTTCAAATTCAAATTCAAGTGTAAGTTTTTTTTAGCAAAATTCATATTTTACTACATTATTAACATACAGTGAGGGTTCAAAAAGCATGTGCATTTTTGTTTTTACGCACAAACGAATAATAAGGATATTCTGAAAATTTTCTCTTATATCGAACTTTGGAGAGCTTTTTTTGCTGATCATTTTAGTAAAAAAAAGTTTTTCATTTTCATTGAGTAATGACGATGTTATAGTCAAAATACTAAACAGTGTAGTATAAAGTAGAGAAAAAAGTTTAGCACACTTTTAGTATTTGGCTAATTTTTACGTTATTTCACATTCACAACATCTGAAAGATGTTCTATATACCATTCGACGCAGATTTGAATGGGCTACATTTTGATAACAAGCACTTATACTTATATTGGAGTTAATTAATTAATAATTAGTTAATTAATAATAATTAGCAATTAATCAATAAAATTTTGATTTTTCTTTTTTTTTTTTAAATTCCAACTCTTTCATATGAAAGAGCATAAAAAACTGAACAAAACTCTATAACTACTATGTGGAAAGCAACGAATTTAGTGAGATTTTAACAAAAATGTACATGCTTTTTTGAGCCCTCACCGTAAGAGTTTTTTTTTCTTTTATTTACATTTCACATTGATCATTAGTTTTTTCTTCATAGTTTTCCTAATTAAAATCAATCATAATATATTACATGTGATAGTTTTTATTTTTATTGAAAAGAAATTGTTTTTTTTTTTGTTTTCAATATACAATGTATTAGCTATCAAAATTTATAAAAGAACTTTGTTGATTTTTCTTTTTGAATAATAAGACGACGTACAATCAAATTTACAATAATTTCACTGAAATTTTTTTGAATAAAAATTTAATAAAATTTTCTTTTCTAGTTTGGATGTAAATGATAATATTCCTCGATGTTTAACTAATTACAATCGAATATTAATTCCAGAAAATTTTCCTATTGATAAACCTATAATAAAAATTAATGCTAGTGATTCTGATAATGGTATAAATGGTACAATAAATTATAAATTTCGAACAAATTCAACATGGTTATTTGATATAAATAACCTAACTGGTGAAATATATTCAAAAGAATTATTTGATTATGAATCTGAATATAAAAATTTTCTATTAATAATTGATCTTGAGGATAATGGATATCCAATAAAAAATCAAAATAAAAATTCATGTCAAATAGAAATTTTTCTTGAAGATATAAATGATAATTATCCTGAATTAATTAATCATGAACAAACAAAAATATTTATTGATATAAATAAATCATATGAAAATGAAATTCTTTTATTAAATGTAACAGATAAAGATTCAGAATTAAATGGAAAAATAAAATATAATTTACAATCAATTGAATCAAATATTAATTTAAATAATAATCAAACATTATTTTATTTAAATCAATATGGAAATTTATTTATAACATATAAAATAAATCAAATATGTTTATTTAAATTAAAAATTTTACTTGAAGATTATGGTTATCCATCTAAACAAACATTAATTGAAATAAATATTGCATTTGGAAATTCATTTGATTCACAATATTCATCATTTGATAAAATTGAAAAATTTTTTCATAATAAATCTTCATCAACAAATTATTTTGCATTTATATTTGGTTTAACTGTTTTAATAATAACATTTTTATTTTTAATATCAATTATGATTATTTCTATATTTATAAGACAACAACATCAACGACATAAAGCAAGTATTATATCACGAAATAAACTTTTATGTTCATCATCACAACAATTAACAACATCAGATTCAACTGTTGCATCTAATATAACATCATCATCTATTGAACATCAACAAGTTATTCGAGTAAGGGTGGCTTTTTTTGTTTTTTTTGTTTCTTGAACTTTAGTAGATTTTTGAAGAAAATAGTAAACGTAAGTTTACACCCGGGATTTTTACGTTCTCTTTTCCTAGGTCATAGAAACCGAGAGTAGGAAAAGAACAGCGAACGTTAATTGTATTCGTTTTCCTAGTAACCGGAAAAAGCGTGTCAATAATAAACAGTGCTTAGATTATTTTGGAACTTTTAAGAATCTTCGAAAACATTCTATGAAGCTAAGAATTTTACTGTAGATTCTAACTAGTCGAAATATTGTGAACTTTGATATTTAATACAATGAAAAGATCTTATTGTAGATGTCAATCAATAGAAAGGTGATATTATTGAACTAGATGAGTGAGAATAGGATGAACATGAAAAACTATGAATTAATTCAATTCTAAGACTAGAAAGGACTTGGCAATATATGTCAAAGTTCATCGAGAGAAAGGATGACGTACTCGAACATTAAGTCGGTATCTATAATAGACTAATATTGTGGTTAAATCGATGAAGCGAAGAATAACATGATATTTACCGTTTCATATGGTTGATATCGTATATACTATTATTAGGAGAACAGAAGTTTTGTATCAAAGATGAATCTAACAATACAAATGCGTGTTTTCAATAAAAAGATCTAATAAATTAGTGGAATAGAAGTTTTAAATGTAAATATTTTCGAAATGATAAAATCTCAGAGTCCAGATGTCAACTATAGAAATCGTTAGAATTTTGATTTACATTTGACATTTTTGAAATAAAACATTTTAACTTCTCTGATAATATACCATAAATTTATAACAGTCACAGTTGGTTAACTCCGCACATTGGTCCTTTATAGAACCGTACTGATATTTTTCTTGAATGATTTTTATTATATTTTTAGCCACCATGTTCAAATGAAAAATCTTTTATTACTGAACGTTTATCAAGTTCGTTATTATTAGTTTTCACTTTTTTAATTGTAGTTTTTATTTAAATATTTTTAGTTAATTGTTCGTCACCAGAATCTCATACATATAAAATTCTTCATGTACCTATAGATTTACATTGTAATGAAAAAGAAAAAATTGATAATATTAGTTGTGATCATGGTTATCATGAAAGTTATCAAACAGGTTCATCATCACCATCATCACCTGAACAATATTCATCAGAAAACTCAATTCGTCGAGATTATATGTTTAATCAGTTACCATATTTTGTAACAAAATGTAAAAGTCTTAGTGAAGGATTTATTGTCGAAATGAATGTCGATGGAAGTGATGAAGATACAAGATAATTGAACTGAACTTTTTTTGTTTTGTCTTTTTCTTTTGTATATAAATAAAGAAATGATGTTTTATTTATTATTTCTCTACTTGAAATAAATTTGAACAAGTTTAAACATAATTGTCGTTAGTTCCAAAATAATAATAATAATCAAAATTTTATTTCAATAAAAATTTATTCAATAAAATAACCATTGAGAAGTGTTGAAAGAAGCTATAAAAAGATAATGTGAGATCAAAACTCAAGGAATTAATTTTGTTCTTGTCAAATTGAATATCAACAACAATTTTATTAGTAAAAATTTTTCGAATTTATCGACAGTCAAAATGAAGAATTTTTCTCTACATATTGGAAAAATTTTGTACACAAGGAAACCCTTTCAGGTCACTGATCGCTTATCGACTGAGATAATGTTCATGTGATAAGTACTAGTAAGTAATAGAAAATTCTAGAGAATGTTTTCCTATTCTAGACCTTTGTTCTTCATATGTCGCACGAATTAAGTCCTTACTGAGATTAGTTCGTTGGATAAGATGTAACAGATATTGAATATTCAAAATATTCTAAAGTATAAAAACAAGTTTTGTTCATATATTTACATCTTCAGAAGGATAATACCAGAAAGGTTACAAGTTGCATAATTAACTAATTCCATTAAGAACTTTGTCCATAAAATGTTTAAAGTCGAAACTCGAAAGTCTATTTTTCACGTGACCTACAGAAGATCACAGAAAATGCAATAAAAATTCGATATCTCGAGTACAAACACTCGAAAAATCATACTATTCTAAACTTTTCGATTATTCACTAATACTTTTCAAACGAATGTCGTCTCGATCGCAAAATAGTTGGACGCCTGGAAGGCATCCTTGCTAGCTTGGTGCCAGAACTGAATGTATTGTTTTGTAATTGATTTGGTTGAAAACGACGTCGATCTTACTGATGTCTAGTTAACATTCATTACTTATTTTCTCATGTTATAAACAAAGTAGCACCAACAAAAATATTCTACTCAGCATCTGCTAATTTCACAAAGGACATTGCTCTCTCTCTCTCTGCTGCTGCTGCTGATTATAATTAAATTATATCTCTCAAATGGCTGTATAGTTAACCTTTTATATTTTTTTTGATGCGTATATTCTGTTTTTTTTTGCTTTAACGTTGATAACGTGTTTTGTCTGTGAGCTTTTTTATGAATGAATACACAAAAAAAATATATACTGTAAATATGAATATCAAACTTAACTTTCTTGCTTATCTAGCCGACAAGTATACTTTAGATTTGCTATGTTTTATAAACATGAACAAATAGTGCATTGAACAAAAAACAATTTAGAAAATGTAAATTGAAGTATATTTAATTCAAAGATATTATGTATGGATTACTACTATAGACAAAAGATTTATTTATAAACCTAAAGGGTGAATCCATTATATAATCACTTTAGTGGCAGCGAGATGAACAAGTAATCTTAGTCATTTTTGCTGATGTTTGTTAGTGAATG